GAGAACCTGTTGGAAATGGAAAAACTTTTCTATCACAGAGAACCTGTTGGAAATGGAAAAACTTTTCTATTACAGAGAACCTGTTGGAAATGGGAAAACTTTTCTATTACATAGAACCTGTTGGAAGTGGGAAGCTTTTCTATTACATAGAACCTGTTGGAAATGGGGAAACTTTTCTATTACATAGAACCTGTTGGAAATGGGGAAACTTTTCTATTACATAGAACCTGTTGGAAGTGGGAAGCTTTTCTATTACAGAGAACCTGTTGGAAGTGGGAAGCTTTTCTATTACATAGAACCTGTTGGAAATGGGGAAACTTTTCTATTACATAGAACCTGTTGGAAGTGGGAAGCTTTTCTATTACAGAGAACCTGTTGGAAGTGGGAAGCTTTTCTATCACAGAGAACCTGTTGGGAATGGGGCAGACTCACAGTTACAGAATCAATATTCTAGTAGTGTTGTAAAGAGACCTTGGAAACAAGAATTTATTGACTACTGCGTGCTGAACGCGGAGTAGGACTGCTCCAGAAGATGTAAAATATCACATGCTACACTTGTATTAGCACGTGTATAAATAACATAAAATAGATGGATACAAATAATTTTTACTGTTTAGTAAGGAAGGAGAACTGTGCTCTTTCAACTTCATTCACCCTTTCCCCCATACCAGTAGTAAACTTGAGAACGTATATGCTAAGAGTTGGGGTTCGATACCCACGGAGGGCACAGCGCAAGTAATTAATTCAACCCTTCCGAAAAAGAGCCACATAAGGGGAGGAAGAGTAGAAAATAGACGTGCGGATGTAGCGTGCTGTGTTAAAACTGCAACTGTTATCAATGGCTTTTCTCACCACAGACTTCTGTGTTCTGTCTCAACCGCAAAGTTAAAAAAGATACTTGTGATTTAGTGAAGAAATACACCAGAAATGTTAACTTTTTTCCTACATTTTAAGTGTGAGGAGATCCATTTATACATTTTTTTTTTTTTTACAGATTGCAGAAATAGGTCGGCTTATTATTAACTTTTGAAGCAATCAAGTTACCACCTACATATACTAGACGTACTTGTGCAGGATCCCCGACAGTGTTCTGTTTCAAGAGTAAATAAAACTAAAATTAAGAGTAACAGATATTATTTTCTTGCTTTTGAAGTTCATATGTCATGCTGTGTTGTAGTCTACAGAGTGCATAATTCTTTTCGTGATTCATGGCATGCGCACGTTTTACTTACGTCAGTCACGACAGTACAAATTACAACGTTAAGTTATGTGACGTCATTTTAGTATCTAATAATTGAATGACAGACAACACACTACTGTATAGAGGTGTGAGTGATTAAAACAGATGACTCCTCCAGGCGGACTTCGGGGAAATTTAAAGTTAATTAATGCTGTCTGTGCTCCAAGGTTCGAATTCGTTCGCTAGTCAGGAATTCTAAGATAGTTCTAAACATTTGAAGGTTCGTTGTGGAATTTAAAGATGTCAGTTTTTTTTTAACTTTGTACCTCGATAAAATAAACCATTTGACAATTTTCAAATAGTAATCACACGTTAAATTTTCCTCACCTGGAAAATTCAATATTTTTATTTGTATAATGCCTATTACTTAAACAAAACTTGTATTAATACGTACACACTACCAAAACGTTTAAAGCACCTTCAATGTATTGGAGCAGGCTATTATTGTGGACCACGGGGGGTCGGGGCGTTATTTACTGCACTGTTTCAGTAAGATGCTTAGTTTACATAACGTAAAAAAGTGTTGTAGAATACTCGTGGAACATAAAGTTTCCGTCAACACTAAATATCTGTCACTGTTACAATACACCCTTCTTCCCCAATGCGTTAGTTAAAAATGTAACGGCTAACAACACTTGTAACTTTTAGTTTATTGCTGGAGATCCATACTTGGTTTCTAATCGAATTGTTGATATTAGTCTGTTTAAATTCTCTATAGTTTTATGTTAAAAATGCCACGACTGTTAATCTGTGTAGAACATTAATTGTTAAATAAAGATTTTTTTTACAAAGTCAGCTGCAGTAATTTTAATTGGCCGCAGGAGGGTGCTTTGTGCAGTGCAAGTTTAATGTATATAGCTACGAGTATCACACGCAGCGTGAGATGTGTACCTAGACAACGTGCATTTTTTATTTTTGTTTAAAATATGAATACTTTGTTACTACTTTGTATAACATATTCTTAAACAATTAGTGAATGTTTTATTTCAGTTATACGGATTAGCTATAAAATAAATGGCTTTTCAATTAAATATAGACTAGTAGTTAAATCACCGCCACCAGTAGATTATGCAAATTATTGTTATCAAAGGCTCGAACATTCAAAGGTCAAGATCAACCCTTCTTTACAGCCCCCAAATTAACCCAGTAAGTAATTTAGCTCATTTAATATATTGAGCTAATTAGCGATATGGAATACCATAAAACAATTAACTTATAAATTAGTAAAGTGAACTGATTCGCCATTTGGGTTCCGTCACTGTTTCCGATATTTCCGACGGTAATCTTATTAATATTTTATAAGGTTCGGCTAATTTTAAGTTAGCCCTAAATTCACATACTAAGCTAACAATATTACTGATTACTTGTCGCTAGACATCCACGCTTCTGCGGAGAACAAAATTAGCTCCATTATTATTATTTTACCCAGACAAACATTTGCTTCAGGTTTTGGTGTTTCAAATTTATGTCAGTTGAGTATCATTGCTGATGTAGTTAAGCTTCAAATATTAAACTATTTTTATAGACATGTATTTTACAAATAGTATATACAAAACTGACAGAACTGTAGGCCGTGTAAGATAATAAAGATAACACTTTACATCGCACTCGGCTGACATGAAGGAAAGAAACGGAGAAAATTTTCTCTACATTAACGAGTTTACTTCATTTGTGCTACAGTTTATTGTCACCACACGATATTAACGTGACGGTTCCCCCAGCTCTTCGGATATTGATTACTTACGTCATCGTCCTGGCAAGAATCGCCGGTAGAGGCCGTAATCGTTCACGACGAGGCAGTTCTTTGTGTGAGGGTGGAGGTAGGTTTCTGTGTTACGCTTGTGACTGAGGTTCTTCCTCCAGTAGTCGGGTGACTTCACAGAGATCAACTTCTTTGATTATTGTACAATGTTTCGTGCTTCAACTGTAACGTCTCCGGCCAAACCCGTGCCTCCGCCGAAGACTTTCCGAGGCTTGGGAGAAAACATCAATGACAAATCGCTCAGTAATAAACCCTTTACCCCAGAGCCTGAGCGGGCAGTTGTGCTGACCCATTCCTCTTCTCGCCAGCCGCAAACCCCCATCTCTTACGGATATCGTTTTGCGAGTGTAGAGCGCTTGGTACAGAGAAATAAAATCTATGACAATAATCCGGACAGTGCTATTCATAATATATTGACAGCTGACGCTCTGTCTAGAGCATCCTCACCAAGTCAGAGTGTAAGTTGATATTTTGTTCTTCGTATACCCACTACTGTTTTTTTACAACGTGTCTACGGAGTGTAAGTTGATATTTTCACTATCTAATAAAACGTTTCCATACAGGTTTAGTGCAGTTAACAATTTGTACTATCTTACAAAACGTTTCCATGCGGGTTTAGTGCAGTTAACAATTTGTACTATCTTACAAAACGTTTCCATGCGGGTTTAGTGCAGTTAACAATTTGTACTATCTTACAAAACGTTTCCATGCGGGTTTAGTGCAGTTAACAATTTGTACTATCTTACAAAACGTTTCCATGCGGGTTTAGTGTAGTTAACAATTTGTACTATCTTACAAAACGTTTCCATGCGGGTTTAGTGCAGTTAACAATATGTACTATCTTAGAAAACGTTTCCATGCAGATTTAGTGCAGTTAACAATATGTACTATCTTCCATAGCTTCTACTCAGATTAAGTGTAAGTTAATATTTTGTACTACATATAATACTAAATTTTAGAGCCTCTATTCAGTTTGAATGTAGGATAACATTTTGTTATTAACTCTCTTCCAGGGCCTCTTTCCATTTTGAATGTAAGATCATTGTCAGTTTGTTGGTCAGTTCTGCTACATTCGAAGCATTAGTCCTTGGTAATGATATGTCTGACCAGTAAAAAATCTGGTCAACTTAAACCAGATATTTGTTGCTTTCATGACATCATACAAATGTATGATATATTAAGTTTCAAGTGTAAATATTATGTACTCTGTGTCTAATAACATAATTTAACTATTTATCTGCTTGCAGGTACAATACCCATCCCCATTACTTGGTAAAATTATGATTATGTAATTTGAGTTGAAGTTATGTTTGAGGATAAGGTTCACTATGTAACACCAGCCTGTGAGTGTAAAACACTTAAGTACACCATTTCAATTTTCGTTACCTCACTACTATAAAGGCTTGGTTTGGTCTATAGTTTCATTGCTGGTAGTGTCCAGGGTCACT